TATATATATATTTCATATTCTGTTCCCCCAAATTTGGGAGACCAGCGGGGACATAAGATAAAGTCGGTGGTCAAATTGCTGCTTCTCGCCTTTAGATCCTGCCCTTTCTCCAAGGACCTCCGAAGCAGTGCAATGGCGGGGAGGGTGGTAGGTCTATGGCAAACCTTACTTGCTGGCTCCAAAAATGCAATCCTTCTCTATCCTGGCAGCTGGCGCCCCCTACTGGAATTGTTCAAAATGCTTCCTGATTGGAGTCGGACTCTCCGCGCATTACCCAAAAGCCATATTTGTACTGAGCTAAAATAAAAAAAAAAAAAAAGAGGAAAACATGCATTACACAAACACACACACGCAATCTTCTGGGTTGGCCGTGGGGACAAGTGAGGTTGGCGGTCTCAAATTGTTCTTGAGTGCTTTGTGGTTTGTTCTTGTATGTATATAAACTTTCAGGGGTGTGGGGAGAAAACCAGAAAAGTTACAACTGATGTCGATGTTCCTTTATAACCTTTCTAAATATCCTGTGCTAATCTCAGAAGATAAACCTATAAATATATCTGGATAATACATGTTATCTTACTGGCGTCTTTCTGCTTTCCTGCCTGGAGGGGCCTTGTGGGGTGGACACTGTTCGGAAGCCCCACAGGAGCGTTGGGAGGGCTGAGCACAAGGTGAGTGGACCATCCCTTCAGACGTGGATCTGGGGGCAGTTCATGACCAAGACAAACCCCACACGGAGAGGAAGGATGGATGGAGCCCTGGGGAACAGCCTGCCAAAACATTCTCCAAAAATCCTGACTTTGGGAGAAGCCCAGATTACCTATCATGGAAACCCACAAGAAGATCCCTTGGTGGACAGGAGAGGAAACATCACACGCTGAGTCACATCCTTGATCCCATAAAATCGGCCTTGTCGACATTGCCCTGCCCAGGTGGTGGCTGGAGAAAGGAGACTTTCCAGCATTAATTGGAGATGTCCAGGCCTGAACTCCACCCCTGTCCTCCATGACTGATGGTCTTTTGCACTACAAATGGGCGTCCCATTGAGGTAACCTTTTCATAATGACTTATCTGTACAAAACTCTACATCCGCCTCACACGTGGCAATCTTCCGTGGGTTTAATTTTAGACTAATGAGCTTAGTCTCCACACTTGCTTTCACACAAACATACTCAAAATGGAAGCCGTAGGTGGATGTGGAGAGAGAGGAAGTAAGCGAGAAACGGTTGGCCATGACATCATGATGCAAGTCCCACTTGCAACATGTAAGGATGTCAACATGCAAGGAAGGGTTTGCACTGTGATGTCCCCAGGTCTGTGTCATAACTTTTCCATCATCATGGCTAGCTGCAGATGCCTGATGGAAACCGTGACGGCATTTGGAAGACACACAACTGAGCTAAGAGTATGATGGTTGGTGGGTGGTTTCAGATGTTCCCAGAACAGGGCCCTTATCATAGCAAGCTAGGTGAACAAACCTCCCTAAGCCATAATACATTTTGGAAATAGTCTGTTACATGAACACAAGGCAGTGTTGTGTTTGTTAACCTGGGTTTAGTGGGTGAATTCAGCCACCACAATGCTAGCTAAGCAAGCCTGGATTTTGAACAAGGGGGATTTTGCCGGGTTCTAGAATCCTTTCCAACATCTTTCCTCGCAGCGGCTACAACTTGCCCTTACTTCTGCAATGAAGAAGTGACGTGTTGTGTTTGGGTGTGTCTGGGTGTGAGTGGGCCCTTCCTCCCCAGGGTTTAAGAAACATGCTTGCATGTGTGTTGCCTGTGTGCACATGAGCGTGGGA